TAATAATAATAATAATAATAATAATAATAATAATAATAAACTTAATATAAACCATAGATAAGACAAAAAATAAAATAAAAAAATACAATCAATAACTAAAAAAATCAACTCAAGATAAACATCAAATGCAATAGAAAAATGGAATATAAACTATAGATAAGACAAAAATATACAATCAAACACACAAACATGTAAATTTATACATGGTTTATTTTCAGTTTATTATATAAGAATACATACTCTAAATTTATGTATAGTTTATAATTACAATCTATCAAATTTTGTTCTTCGAGCAGATGAATGTCCTGTGTTCTCAATTTCACCATCAAATTCCCCAAATATTATTAACATCAATACATGAGCCAAAGAAGAAGAAGAATAATAATATAAACTGATTTGTACAAAGCTCTAAATTCCTTAATATTACAAACTCAAAAATTTCAAATATTTAATCAAAATTTACGAATTCTCACTCTATCACCTTAGCAACATCAAACAAGAGTGAGATAAATAAATCAAGCGAGAAACAAAAATATTCCTTAATTAATAAAAAAAAAAAACACATCTGTTTAATTGCAATTGATTATTAAATCAAGTGAGAAATGAACAAGGGAGGGTGCAACTGTAGAGACGTTTTATCAAATAGTAGGCATATGAGGTAACAAGGGAATAAATCTTAGTAACCCTTTGATTAATTTGAAGCATCATGTGCAGAGGTGGTGGCGGATGGCCTCCTCAACCTCCGAAGTCGCTCCGGAGGTCCACTGGTCGTCCGACAGTTGAGCCTCTCAGTCGGGTGCGACAGCGCTGAACGAGATACTGCACATGGCCTCCATCACTCGCACGTCGTTCTCTGCCGTCAATGGATCGTTGCACTGCTTCTCGTCCTCCCTAAACGCACGTTCGATTGTCCTCTCCGACTCGCTAGCCGCTGCGGCCATGACAACGCCGTCTTCATCGTCATTATCGCTCAGTTCGAGAGATGATAAGCTGCTGGGGAGATAGTGGAAATGGTGAATCTGGTCCTGATCGGATTGTTCTCTGAGATCGAGAGATTGACGGGAAAGAAAGAGATAGGGGGAATTAATTTGATGAGTTAATTTGGGAGAAGATAATTTGACATTTTGCTGTAAGGAAAAGGAACATAGAAGGAAAAAAAATAAAAAAAAAATACAAAACGGTTTCATTTATGTAATTAAAAACTTTAGATCTTCTTTTTCAGTTTTGCTATGGAGCCATCAGATGGCTTGGCTTATGGAGTCATCCACAATTATTCACAAATAGTGTATTGTCATGTGTCCTACAATAAATGCACTTTGGACAAGTGTCAATATACTAAATCATTGATGGCTCCATAAGAAAACCATCCGATTGCTCCATAGAATTTTTGTCTTCTTTTTGTCCTTAAAAGAATTTTCGTTCGTCTAGGAGGTAATTATCTCTTGATCAGAACAATCATAAACAATTACTTTAGCATTTAATTAAATCAACTATTTTCCCTTTTTCCACGAGCACTTCATCTCCTTCTACCATGTGTCCACTTGATTGGATAAAAGATGTTTTTACCAATCATTTTCCATTTTTCCTTCTTTCTGCTCGTTCCCAGCCACCGAAACCCTAGCTCCCAAATCGCCGCCAGCAAACTCCCCATTTCTGACTGAATCCACAACAATTCCCCTCCGATCGAGAGATCCTTGCCCACAAGGATCAAAAGATGGGAACTTGCGACAAATGAAGCTCCTATCCTCCCAAGAAGTTGAGTATCGACTGGGTCCTGCCCATCTAATCAAGATCTGTTCCACTGGAGTTTTTCCCCTGTGAATCAAACAGTGCCCCAGCAACTCTAAAGGCTCGATTTTGAAATCGCCGTTCGAATCAGTAGTTGGGAGCTCCTTCTCAGGTATGTGGCTGGTTCCTATGCATTTCTTCAGTAATGAAACATGAAATACCGGGTGAATCTTTGATTCCTCGGGTAGGTTGAGTTTATATGCCACTGCTCCAACTTTCTTAAGTATTTCAAATGGCCCAAAGTATCTTGCAGAGAGCTTGAGGTTTTTCCTTAATGCAACTGAATTTTGTCTGAAAGGCTGAAGCTTTAAATAAACCCAGTCCCCAACTTCAAATGTTCTCTCTTGTATGTGCTTATCAATGTATTGTTTCATCCTTGCTTGTGATATCTGCAAATTTTCCTTGATTTCCTGGAACAATTGTTGTCTGTCATGCATGAATTCTTGGGCTTATGTGTCTTGTGTGCCCACATATTGTTCCAAGGACAGATTAGGGGGTTGATACCCATATAGGGCTTTGAATAGGGTCATTTTGATGCTGCTTTGGTAGTTGCTGTTGTACCAATACTCAGCAAGTGGTAGCCAATTTACCCATCTTATAGGATGACTGTGTGTCATACATCTTAGATAGTTCTCTAAGCATTGGTTGAGCCTCTCTATTTGCCCATCTGTTTGAGGGTGGTAGGCAGAGCTCATGTCCAAGGTTGTGCCCATGAGTTTGAACAGCTCCTTCCAGAAGGTGCTAGTGAACACCTTGTCCCTATCTGAGACCAAACTCACTGGTTGCCCATGTAGTTTGTAGATTTGGTCTAAAAACACTTGAGCTATAGATTGAGCAGTGTAGGGATGTGACAATGCCACAAAGTGGGCATATTTAGTGAACCTGTCCACAACAACAAAAATGACAGTCTTCCCTTTAGAATTTGGAAGACCTTCTATGAAATCCATAGAAATGTGGCTCCATGCTTGTTCTGGAATGGGTTGAGGCTGTAGATGCCCCGAATTAGCACCTGGACTTGGTTTGCTCCTTGCACACACTTCACATTCCTTAACCCACTTAATAACCTCTTGCTTCATCTTTGGCAAAAAAAAACTCCTGTACAATC